CTTGTGGACTTCAACTCCCAGAATTCCTCAGCCAACAGACCAGGGGCTTAAGTCCACAAGTCTTAAAGTGACTGAGGTTGGAGGCCCCTGGTCTCTTGGCTGAGGAATTCTGGGAGTTGAAGTCCACAAGTCTTAAAGGGGCCAAGGCTGGAGACCCCTGATTTAAACTGCAACCCAGGAGCCCAAAGAGGATTCAGAATTACAAAGTAACAGAGGTGGAAGGCGTTTTAGAGGTCTTCTAGTCTACCCCTCTGCCCGAGATCATAGCAACGTAACGGTTGGAAGGAACCTTGGGGGTCCACTAGTAAAGTTCCCCCCCCGTGCAACGTTGTAGACTCATAGAGCTAGAAGGGGAACTTAGAGGTCTTCCAGTCCACCCCTCTGCCCTCGATCATAGAAACCTATGGCTGAAAGGGACCCGTTGAGTCCAAGCAGCTGCCGGCTGGGGAATTCTGGGAGTTGAAGTCCACAAGTCTTCAAAGTGGCCACCATCTCGGTTTTCGGACCGAGCTCCGTAATTTAATGATCTGAGTTTAATAACGGGAAACAGCCCAGCTCAGGGAGCCCCGATTTCTTTTCTCTCCAGGGAGCAAAGCGGATCTTTTAGGGAGTTTGAAGTCCTCCGGGCTTAAAAGGGCCGAGGTTGGAGACCCCTGGATCAATGAGCCATGATATTCATGCTTTTTTTGTGGGGGCGGGGGGCATCTACCCAAGGAAGGAGAAGCCAACAGATGGTGCTCATCCGATCCTAAACTCAGCCAGGGGAAACCACCTGCCCTTCTCTTGTGCACCAACCGCTACCCTGACTGACCAGCAGCCCAGAGAAGACCCCTGGATAGACCTTGGGGGGCGGGAGGGAGGAATCAGGCCACCCCCCCCCCCCCCCCCCCCCCCCGCCAAACAGCGACGGAGCCCATCTGCTGAACAGGAGGCGTGAACAGCCCAGCTGCCTCCCCTTAGCAGCGTCTCTGGGGAAAGACGCGGAGGCGACACAGAGCGAGACAGCCCTTCCTGCGACATCCGCCTCCTTTGGCTGTGGGCCCGGGGAGAAGCCAGGCCTACAGGAAGAAGAAGAAGAGGGGGGCGGGGGGGGGGGGCAGGGGTTTTTTTTTAGGTCGGGGGGGGGGGGGGGGGGCACTGCAAATCCAACAGCCGTTGCAAACGGGGGGTTCGCATGAGTGGGCCAGATGGGACCCCCGTTGCACCCGAAGAGTTTGTCTCCAAAGGTTTCCTCGGAAAAAAGAGGGGAGGGAGGGGGCTGCCCCCCAGCCCCCCCACCCCCGTCTGGGACCCATGCCTGGCGCCTCTTTTCCCAGATTTGGAAAGGAGGAAAGTCTGCACGCTTTTTCCCCCACCCGAGGAGGGGACCAGCAGCCCACCCCCCCCTGAGTCTGGGATCGGATGAGCACCATCTGTTGGCCTCTCCTTTGTTGGATAGACGCCCCCCCCCCCCAAAACAAAGCATTAATATCAAGCCAAGCTTCAAAAACCTTGAAGGATTTATTAGGAGCGAACAGGTCGCCATGACCCTGGATGAAGCCGACTCTTGAGACACGTCATTCACTGTCACACTTGAACAGTGGCGGGATTCCAAAAAATTTTTTACTACTGGTTGGTTGTGGGCGTGGCTTGGTGGGCGTGGCACGGGGAAGGATCTACTGCCAAATCCCCCTTCCTTCCCCACCCCACTAACCTGCTTTCCAGCTCCGTTCTCCTGGGCGGGGCAACCCAAGGAGACCCAGCCGATCAGCTGGGACTCAACGGGAGGCAGAGAAGAGATGGGGGTGGCTGGTTCTCCCAATTGCTCAAAATCTTTTGCTACTGGTTCCCCAGAACGGGTCAGAACCGGCTGAATCCCACCTCTGATCTATATCTACCTATCTGTCATTTCTATCTATTGTTAATGAATATCGTCTATCATCTATATTGTCTGTCCATCTACCTACCTAAATACCTACCTACCTACCTACCTTCTATGTATCATGTATATCAGTGGTAGGATTCAATTTTTTTTACTACCGGTTCTGTGGGCGTGGCTTGGTGGGAGTGGCTTGGTGGGCGTGGCATGGGGAAGGGTATACTGCAAAATCCCCCTTCCCTCCCCACCCCACTAACCTGCTTTCCAGCTCCGTTCTCCTGGGCAGGGCAACCCAAGGAGACCCAGCCGATCAGCTGGGACTCAACCGGAGGCAGAGAAGAGATCGGGGTTGGCGGGCCCAGTCAGAGGTGGGATTGGCCGGTTCTCCCAACATTTATGCTATGGGTGGTTCCCCAGAACGGGTCAGAACCGGCTGAATCCCACCTCTGATCTATATCTACCTATCTATCATTTCTATCTATTGTTAATGAATATCGTCTATCATCTATATTGTCTGTCCACCTATCTACCTAAATACCTACCTACCATCTATCATGTATATCAGTGGTGGGATTCAAATTTTTTTAGTACCGGTTCTGTGGGCGTGGTTTGGTGGGCGTGGCAGGGGAAGGTTACTGCAAAATCCCCCTTCCCTCCCCACCCCACTAACCTGCTTTCCAGCTCCGTTCTCCTAGGCAGGGCAACCCAAGGAGACCCAGCCGATCAGCTGGGACTCAACGGGAGGCGGAGAAGAGATCGGGGTTGGCGGGCCCAGTCAGAGGTGGGATTGGCCGGTTGTCCGAACAACTCAGAATTTACGCTATCGGCGGTTCCTCAGAACGGGTCAGAACCTGCTGTACCCCACCTCTGCCCTTGACTCTGGTCCGTTTCCCCCCCAGCCCTCTTGGTGTAACGATGACTTATATTCTCCAACGAAACAGGTTCATGGCCGAGAGTCATCAATCACGTTCTCCAATTAGAGATTTGCAGAGGCAAGAAATCCCGGTCGCTTAGTTATAATCTTTGCAAGACGTGGATGGGATGCCCTTTGCGGGTTCCAAACTGCCGCACTGCCCACCCCCCCACCCCCCTCAAAAATTTCTTTTCTTCCCCTTCTGTTCATGGCAACCCCAAAACAGGCATAGAAAGGATCGCTGAGTTGACACCTGGCTGGAAACGCCCTTCCTGTTTTTTTTTCAGGGACAAAACCCCGGGCGGGATCGAAAGAAGACTCTCGCGCCAGACCACGATTGGGGGCTTCCCAGGACCCCGAAGCCTACGATGCCGAGATTGCCTGGAAGTTGCAGGAGGAGGAGCTGCTGGTGAGCAGGGCCAAACTCTGCCATTACCAGAGGGGGGGG